CCGTTTCACCATATAAGAATTGCCGGGGCAATCCGCATCGAAAACAGCTCAACAAATTAACCAGGTGTGGGGGGCCCAATAGTGCTAGAGAAAGCACTGTGCGGCAATGGCTCAACAAATTTCGTTCTGGAGATTTCAGCCTTGAAGATGAACCTCATAGCGGTCGACCTAAAGCAATATCTGACGAGGATTTCAGGGGGATTGGAGAGGCTGACCCATCCCAAACAGTTCCGGAGGTTAGCAGAAGAGCTACGTGGCCTTGCAGAATCACTGTTGAAATTCTGGAACGCATTGGGAAGTGAAAAACTCGACTATTTGGGGTGCACAATTCGCGAGGTGCGCAGAAATCGGCACGTCTCGCGATTTCTCTTCATGCTTTTGCGCAGCACAAACCCCTGGTTTCGCGGCGCGAATTTCACCGTGCTGATGATGGTCTGTTGATGAAAGGGACGTTCCGGACAGTGGTTGGATTTCGACGAACCACCGAGGTAATTTTCAAAGCCGAACCCTCACGAAAAAAAGATTCTGGTCACGGCTTGGTGGTCATCGGCTGGTGTGATCCACTATAACTTTTATCACCAGGCCAAACCATCACAGCAGAACCTACTGTGAGGAAAAAAAAACAATGCGACGAAACAATGTCAACCGGAAAAATTTTCTCAGCTGCAGCCAACCTTACTTCAAAAAAAGGGACATTCCTTTGCATGACAACGCCCGCCCACACGTTTCACAAATCACTATCCATAAATTGAACGAATTGGGGTTGAAGTTCTACCTCAACCGCCATATTCTTCAGACCTTTCGCCAACCGACTATCACCTTTTAAACATTTTCAGAACTCCCTTGCTGGAAAATACTTCATCAATCAGGACCAGGCAAAAAAGCCTTCCGGTGGATTCATTCTGTGACATTTCGACACCCAGGTTTTACTTTGTAGGTTCCGACTGCAGCTCACATTGGCAAAAGTGTGCTGATTCGAATGGTGCCTATTTCGATTAAATCCGATGAGTATTAAAAAAGTTACGATCGTTTAAAGTGAAACACCCAAAACGCTGAGAACTTTCCGGACAACCTAATACTTCGATAGCACACCGGCATCAGCATCGCGTCCGACTTTAAGGGCGGAGCGCGGTGGGCTGTCCTTCGGTCCACGACGTCCGCACACTTGCCATGGCGCCAGCACCGCAAACTGCGGGAAACGGACAGCCTCACTATAAGTCACAAAAAGTGCTTAAGTATCTGCATTAGCCGTCGTAGAAAAAGCAGCAGAAAAAAAGCAGCTCGATCGGTACTAGGAAACGATAACATAGTGGCTACTAGGCAAGTAGACTTTTAAGAGACCGGCGTGAGGCAGTCGCATGAGGGCCTAAGGGCGTAGTCCATGGGCCCTACATAGTCAGCTTCTTAGGAATTCTAGCCGTTTATCCACCATTTTGCAAAGTACGCCGCCAGTCCCTCACAACACATCGCCCCTTCCGGATGCTCCGGACAACACATCTGACGGGTCATAGCCTTCTAATTCTTATCGGGGAATGTGCCTTTAACTTCCACTCGTGCCGCCCTATACCGTGAATCTCCATGAAAAAGCCGCGCCACGCCCAAGTCGTCTCCATGCTCGAGGCGCGCTACAAGTCCGCTCCTACGCTATGTATCGGCTCCCCGAATAACACCCAGCTCCATGGTCGATCATTTATCCCACACGCCCGCGCCCCCGCAGGCCGCCGGGCCCCTCACGCAGCGCGCCCAGCCGCGTACCGCGAGGCTCCCCCAGCATTTCTCTCACCCGCTCGCCCGATCATGCGTAACAACCCGGAGAAACTCCCGTGACAATTGCCTGTTGAACACGTCGTTGGGGCATGTTTGGCCGCAAACAGGCGTTAAGGCGATCGCAGTCAAACCACAGATAAACTCTTTCCTGGAATAATTGACATAATTCTTGTTATAAGCACTTTAGCCTAATTAGCCATTACCAATTTCCAGCGCAGCAATCCAACTCTTTCTATTATTGAGAGGAGGTGCCTGTCCCTTCTTAACAGCGAAATTTTGGGAAGATTTTTAAAGGTTATTGGTAGGTTATTAACGTGCTTGGACAAATTTTCACTTGTTGTTGTCAGTTCTTCCCCTTGTTTCCGCAATTAGTCATTCAGAAACAGAAAAAATAGTAATAGCCAGAACATCGCAACCAACACAGGTTTCACAATTAGCGCGCTATTTGCATGAAATTCCTTGTTGGAGGAGCATGGGTGCGCCTGCTACTGCCTTGCACTCATATGTGCAAACGGTTTTCATAGTGTATAGTAGATCCACCTGAATAATAAGACACACAGTCTAGGCTGGGTGAGCGGCGCTCGCCTTTTTTCTAAACAATGACGAATATCTTGATTGCAACGTCGCTCTTACCAGACGATCCGAAAATTCTCAGCAGTTCTACCTTTTTGCGGCGTGCTCTTCCTATAGATGAGTTTATCTCGCGGTGTTGGGTAATCGGATTGGTACAGTGATGTATCCCAGAGGATGGCTCCCTTCAGGCCAAGCACCTCAAGCGGATTTCTTTCCTTCTGGCATGACTTTGTTGCACCTGTAATAACTTTCAGAGAAGCCGACTTGTCAGCGGGGAAACATCCGCAGATCGTATTTCCAACCCACCCTCATGGGTTGCGAGGAAGTGAGAGTGCCCGCAACATGAATAGAAAAGGTTCTCCTGACAATTTTCTTTGGAAAACAATAATTGGGGTCGATAGCCTTGCTTAGTCGTCGCCAGGGGCGTACATCCCGTTTTAGTACAAGGCACCCTAATGTTGTGGCTCCGTTATGACGCAGAGCTGTACTCCTAAGGATGCGATAACCTCTTACAACTTCAGAGTTTGCGCGCTTAACGAATGTTAGATACCGGTGAGATTTTGCTGCTCACTAATGGGACGAGTTGTATGAGCGCGCAGAGGTCAAAGCGGTGAGCCGCGAATCGATGATGTGATGTTTATCTTCAAGGTGGCGACTATACACATACTACAGGCAGTTTGGAAGGACAGCAAATCCGCGAGTCGGAATGTCGCCCCCAGAAAAATATACTGTGCTTCCAAGGCGCGTTTTATATACTTTGCCGGCGCGTCACTAGCGCCCTTACCAGTCTCCCCGAGTGACACATACTTTCCTAGTCTCTCGAAGAGGTGATGGTACGAGGTGCGCGGAACGCTGATGGACGCTGCTGTGGACGCTGGGTAGACGTTGCTATTGCGGTTACTATAACGGGTTCCTAGTGCGTCCCATGACGTGCGCTGCGACGCGTATGGTCGCTGGTTGAATGAGCCGCAGCGGCAACGCAGGCATTCAAATTCATGCCAAACGATCTAGCAGTCCCCTTTGACAGCGCGAATTTCCGCATCGCACTTTCGCGAGCTCTCCAATACATTCTTTTCCTCCCTCTTCGGCCGCCAGCTATGTACAGTCATTTTTCGCTCGCGAGGCGTCACAAAGTAAGGGGGGGGCGGGGGTCGTATCTCGCCGACGGCCCCAGAGCCCCATTTTCATCTACCACTGTGTGGGGGGTTCGCTCGAAGCTCTTCAGCTCTTGCCCGAGATTCTCGTCGCGCATCATCCAGTGCGCTGAGGGGACGGGGCCACCATCCACAGCGTGAACAGGACGTGCTGTCGAAACTTCCAGGTTCTCAGAAGGACTCGATTTCGTTGTTTGAGACGTTGCCTGAGTGAGCGAGTGTCGGCACCACTTCGTCCTGAGCGGTTCCGAGATCGCCATCAAACTATGGAAATTCTGCATTTCGTCGGAGTGGAGACTGGGGCAGGGGATAGTGGGTGAGCGGGGAGGTCATTCGAGGTGGTGTGTCTACTGATTAGCTGTGCATTAGCGGGCTTACAGCAGTACATCAGAGTTCGTTCGGTGTGAGGTAGAGAAAGTTCCCATTGCGAAAATCAAGCTTTGTATTCTGCGTTCCGGTGGGTGACGAGCGCTTAAGTTGTTGTGGGATGGAAAGAAACGTTATTTTTTTTTTTTCTTGAATCTCCAAGCGAAGTGTTCGAAAGCGCTTCTCAATAATAGGAATCTGGTGCAGGTGAGGGTACATTGCCTACATTTCATTTTCTTTTTCGGGGCGGAAAGGGCGGATGTAGTGCGGGAGTGGCGTGTAATCACGGGCGGTGAGAGTGTGATTCGGGTTTTACCTCAGGGTAACCCATTCATCACATTATAGTTCATGTGTGCAACGTCATTAGCTTCAATCTTCGAGGACAAGTGAAGTCATAGTTAAGTGTGCGCTTGTGGGCAGGGTGACAAGGCAATCACAGTATGTCGTGCCTGTTGGCTGGCGAGTGCGGCTCGCGCCCGAGTGCGAGGGGGTATGTGCCGTAGAAATGATTGCGTATTAGCGGAGATTAGTCACTTTTTCCGCATAACGAAAAGTTCCGGCGGCGGTGTGTGTTACCGAGTCTTCCGGGTGGAAAAACTTAGGTTTCAATTTTGATCGGCACCGGAATACCCGCAGGCATTGTCTGAGAAACTAAGAAATTTTGAGCTATTCGGGGGTACGGATGAAATGGTCGAAGAGTGTGTGATCAGGTGTGCTCTTGAAGGTGCGTGAAAGGGGAATTCAGAAGTTCAGCCGTATAAGTACAGACCAGCCTCTGTTCTGTTTTAGGCTTAATGCGGCGACAGAAAGTGGCTTGCTTAACGTTTGCAGAAGCGTGTTAAGCTCCCTTGCATGTCCACTGCCTCGCTTAGCGCCCACTTCAGATTGACTGACACGTCTGCTGTGGTCCCCAGCAACTAGCTGACTTTTCGCATCCTGGAGCCTCCCGGGCGAAGTTAGATAGAGTGCCACTTCCTGTAAGCAAGAATGCTTCCAACACATGCTTCGCGCTTCCTACTCGCATAAACGCAGAGAAAGTCCACTCACATACGATACGATCGCCAGGATGAAGACAATGCGGCGTAATGGCGTCGGCGCATGTTTAGCCATGCCATATAGAATATTCCTGATTATTGCAGGCTATGGGACCCTAGGAATCTCGAATTAATTGCACAACTCCCTCGGAAGAATCACATTCAACTACATTGTGAGTTCATAGACGATAAAGTGCTAGTATCGACAAGTAACGGCTTTAACGGTGATGGCTGCGAAATTTCGGTAAGCTGAATTTTCAGTCAGAACTTGATAGCTTGAATAACTGAATACACCTACTTAGATATGGGACCTACGAACGCGCAAACTTTTACGGGAACTACGTGGACATGAGGGGTCGGTGCCTTGTGTGGCTGGACTTACGCAAACGGTAACTTTGAAACGACTATTGATGAGCGTCTCGATGGATAGGACGATACGAATTTGGAACATCGAAGATGGAGGTGGGTAACAACTTACACTTTTTGCAAGCTGTTTGTTCTTCTCATGAAATACTAATCGTAGTCAAAAAGCAGTGGGCCCCGATGACTCAAATGACGTGTCTGTACCCATTTATGCGAAGAAGCTGTGGCTCAACGATGACAAATGAGAGTCTTAGAGCCGCATTTGGCGATAAGCGAAGTGTCCAAGCAACTTCCAAGTAGATTACCTAGGTTTGTTACTTTCAGGGGATGCCCTTTTCGCCTTGGATAGAGAGCATTCCATTAGGCCACACTCATAAGTTGCGGTAGCGTCCGCTTGCGTCTACCACCACTAGCCATTCAGTCGAGCTTCCGGCTAGGAAAGTGTAGATATCGATCTAGCGTCTGGCAGCGTCTACCAGCGTGCACCGTCTCCCAGCGTTCGCTAGCATCTACCAGTGTCCAAAGCGTCTTGAGGGCCTGGGAAGTACAGGCATCGACCTAGCGTCTGCTAGCGTCTACCGACGTGCACCAGCGTCCGGGAGAGGAGAGTATGGCGCGATAGGAGTACAGACAGCTGGTACCCTCCTATCGCGCCATACTCTCTACCAGCAGTCTGCTACTCTCCTATCTCGCCGTACCTACCAGGTGTCGCGCCATACTATCCTCTCCCGAACGCTGGTGGTAGACTTTGGTGCCCGCTGGCACACGCTGATAGACGCTGGCAGACGCTAGATCGATATCTATACTTTCCCAGTCGCTGACGCTGCCGGACGCTCGAAACGCTAGTGGACGCTGGTAGACGCTGGTGGGTGCTGTCGCAAAGTATGAACGCAGCCTTACCATTGAGAATCATAGCGCACAGGGTGTATTGGCCCAGTGTTCTGTCCAGCTGCAAGAAGAATGTCTTCTCTCTGGTTTCTTATGTTATCAACCCCTATACATAAGTCAGGCTATATTTTTCGAACCCCTGACCACCAAACTGCCATCGCGTGAAGCGAATTCGAGGGCTATCCCAAATCGCTGCTGCATATCATTGCTCATCCATTGCTCTGTTCAGCTCAGTCTTCCACCCCTGCTTAAAGCTTCTCCATTCGCGCGGTAAGGCTAGGCAATTGGACACTCTGATATTTACTTCGGACAATGATCTTATTTCTAGAGTCGAGAGACGTAAATCGTGCACCACAACGGCATTTTTGTTGGCACCTTTAATTTACCTGAATTACATGTGGGCGGGATACAAAAGGGCATTACTGCATATATTGTTATTGTGCAATAGCAAATGGGATTGAGCAAAGATATCAACTGTTAGGATTACTGTAACAGGATAAAGGATCGCTAAAAAAGTACCGCCCAGCGGCCTTTGAAAGAAAGAAAGTTGGTGTATCAATTTGAAAAGGAACAGAAACATTTTCTCCCAGCTACGGTATCTGCTAAGTGCTCTAATATTTTTCAATTCACATAAGCGAGCTATGATAGGTTGGAGCTGCTTGTCCCTCTATTTTCGATGTTATTTGGAGTTCACAGAACGGGCACTTTGGTGCTGAGAAGTTTCCACAGGCGCCATGTCTGAGTTGGTTGGGTGAGGATTAGGGAGTCATGAGTTGCTATGTGGAGAGGGTACTATAAAGACACTGTCCTCCAACCTTGAACCACACGTATACGGTATATTACGCTGTACTCAAAGGCCTAAAAGACCTCGTGTTTGGACAAGTCTAGTAGGTTGATTCCTTGTAATGAACCCTGTGACTCCACATGTAACAAAGGGGCTCCATTTCATGTTTCTTGTCTGGAAGGCGGGCACTGAAGGCGCGGTCCGGGGGCGGAGTCACTAGAGAACGGGAGGTGTCCCTTTCCCTAGTGACTCCGCCCCCAAACCGCGGTCAACTTTGCGCCGTAACTCCTTCGCCTTAAGACTTTCAGCGCAACGTGCAGAAACTGGCACAAAGTTGTCCATTATTCCCTTACAATCTTTAAATCTTCATAGGTCCTCGCGGACCGTTCCTTTGAGGAAGAACTGTACACTCACATCTCATGTGCGAGGTGAAAAAAAGTGAAGTAGAGAAGAATCAGAAGAGAGGATGGCGACAGGTAGAGCGTTTGGCTATGATTAGGGCGCGGCTGGCTGTGCGGCAGCGCGGACGGAACTGGAGACCGGGGGCACGTCCTGCCGCTGGGGAAAATTTTAGGAAAATACGACCCTCCCCCTTCTTCCTCCTCCTTGTTCCACCTAGTGTCTTACTGTCTTGCCTCCCTTGTCAACTTTGTGAAACTTTCTACCACTGTTACCAAAATTTCCGTCAAGGGAAAGGGGTATATTACGCTAGAGAAAAGGAAAAACTGCGATAAACAAGCCTTTATTTCCAAGCGGGCATGTGACCTCCTATCCCAACGACGAGCAAATACGACTCCCTCCTTATTGAGTTTCTTCCAACGATGTGGATGGGCCCATGAAACAGGAAAAAATCAATCATCAAAAAAATTTTCAACAGTTCCCCCTTCACTTCAACGACCAACGACTACCCCCCCCCCCGCCCCGTCTCGCTGGGGACTCTTCAAAGTGGGGCGTGCCCTGTTGGAGTCGGCACTCCGGTATCTCTACCCCACTTGCTTTTTTGACCGAACAAAGTGGTATGCTACTGCATCTGGGATCCATTCACTTTACACATGACAACTACCAGGATCCAGAAGTGAGTGTGCAGTTTCTCGTATGGCATGTAAGAATTTTCTGGAACACTGATGATTCTTACTGTTCCTTCTGTAGCATATAAACTTCTCCTTCTTCTCTCCTTCATAGTAAAGGACTTTAGGAGCGGGATTTCGAGTTGAAGAAGTGGACCTTCTTGTTAGCTGAGAGAGGTCATCAAGGTTCAGAGGTGCAAAGAAATGATAGAAGGGGCCCTGCGTAACATCCTTTTGCAGACATATTTCTTTTTATCAGAAAGAATATTTGTGTTGAGTTCGGATTTTTGCTACTTTTTTGTGGAGGTAGTCTAATCGTTTTCTGTTGAAGCTCTTCCATTCAAGTTCCTCCCAGTAATTTCCGAAAATAGGGAAAATCAATTTGATCTGGAAGGGGACAATAGGCACGAATTTTTCTGATTTTCAGTTTGTGTTTGGGACGAGGCCATACCGACTGATGCTGATCTTCTTCAATGTGTATCTTTTAATGACGGGCAGTACGTTTTCTTTTTTTAAGACATCCATTTACTTATTATACTAGCTTACTCTTACAAGGAGCTTACTGCATTTTAAAAGACACTGTAAGGTTACTGTAGCTGAACAGATGTTTTCGATTTAACTTAGTTGAAAAAACCTATCACACTGCTCACCTTCGATTGCTTTTTACCGCATTTGTTCCTAGTTAATGGCACGGTTTCCTTGCCGTTTCTGGCATTTTGGATGACTTAAAATGAGTTCATCTTGAAAGAGTAGTTCCCAGGAATCCAACTGTCCTGCTAGCTGCATTTCATGGACAACTGATCTAGGTAGTCACGGAACTACAGGATCAACCAGAGTTGCCCAGTCAGTGGCTTCCCCCTGGATCCATATTGCTTTCTCCAGAATACGTCGTTACTCTCTGGGAACCTGCGCTCATCCCTGCGTCCCAGAGATGGGTAGGGCGTGACCCCGTACAGAGTTGAGAACGTGGCGACTGCTGCTTATATGAATGTGATTGAGATGTTTATCGGCGTGAAAGTAAGCGCGGTTCGGCTCAGGAAGGTGGAGGGCATGTGCACTGGCGCAAGAATCGGCGAGTAGTTTCTACAACTTTTGACTGGTATCACTTCAAGGCTTCATAAGATTCCACAAATCTGTACTTGTCCACGCCCCCAAGTCTCACTGTGCCTGCAATTGGAACGTTCAATATCCCCCTCCCATATAGTGCGAGTTGGATATATTCTTATTTTTCTTTACTTCATCTTATCTTGTACCTTTTAAAGCATTAAGAGCAATGTACTATTTTTCAGTGTTGTAGTATCCGGAGGAAGAGGACTTCTGGCACATATACGAGTACAAGGACGAGCTGGCAAACCATACTTTCAAATGCTCTCCATTCAAAAACCGATCTCATAAAGGCATCCCCTTGGAGCCGTGCTCAATTCGATATCATCTCTCAAATAAAACTGAATTTTTTTCTGCGATGCTCCTCACTTGAAATATCTATCTACACGTGAACGAGGCAGCTACTGGCCATTCGCGCTACGGAATAGGCCGTGCGCTGGTAACCAAGCGATTACGTATGGTGAGTAGAGACATAAACGTCACATAAACAATGTGTGATGGATTGCCGGTTAGAGATCCGCTAGAAGCTACAGTTGACATCATCGCAGTCTGGCAGGACGGTGTCAGGAGACGTTGAACGAGCCCACCCACGCCGTTGCCCACATTTATTTATTTATTTATTTATTAGTCAATCGCAATGTAACAATCATAAGTGAGCAACTCAGGATGATACAGTTGATTGACTTGCATTTCTTTTAGTAGGGGTAAATTGGGCGGAACACGCTGGATGTCATACTGAGGTAATCAGTAATATTTATGTATTTATTTGTTTATAACAGTTAACATCTCAAGGATGTGTCTTTAAACCATTGATTGTTTTTTTTACCTGAATCGGCCAGTATTGGTAAAAAGCGCAGCCGCGGACGTAGCCATTTGACACCTCTTTACCCCGCCACGCCTTCTACGACATCAACCGAACAACCTTATATTTTTCAACATTGACAGATGAAGTTGTGAATTACGGTTTTCGTAGCCTTCTCGATTACCGGTATCAAAATGTTGCCATGGAAGTCTGTTCAAAATCCTTTCTGGACGTTTTTGGGGGTGTGTCTATACTTATGATACGCACTGTATACGTAATGGGGACCCATGTGCCCAACGTTGTATCCCGCCGCAGCTGCGTATTCCAGAGATGACTCTTTATTGCACATGCCTCTTTTCCACATCGTCGCCGCGCCCGCAGCTAGATGCGTAAGAACGCCTCCCTTTTTTCAGATATGGACTGTACCTATTAGATAGTCGAGGAGTAAGTCTTTGAGATGCCCTTTGTCGATCACATGGTTGAGCCCACAAAGGCTGCGTTTGTGCTGCAGCGTCCACCAGCGTCCCGAGCGTCCGGCAGCGTCAGCAACCACGAAATTATTGATATGAATTTAGCGTCTGCCAGCGTCTGCCAGCGACGAGCAGCATCCGGGAGTGGAGAGTAAAGGGCAATAGGAGGATAGCAGACTGCTGGTAAAGTGGGGAGATAGGAGGGTACCAGCTGTCTGCTAATTCTCTATCGCTCCATACTCCACTCCCAGACGTCTCGAGAGCTAGCGGGGATCGATTCGGCTGGCAGACGCTGGATCGACACCTGCACTTCCCTAGCTCTGGAGACGCTGCTGGTGGACGCTGACAGACGCTAGCAGAGCTCGATCGATATCTATGCTTTCCTTGGCGCTGACGTCGAACACTCGGATCCCTGGTGGACGCTATTGCTCGCTGGTGGATGCCTCTTCAAAGTATGAACGCCTTAAGTTCGCAACCCGGGACGGGCGGAAAGCAACACCAATCAGGGCTTACTTGTCGACGGCTTGACAATCTGAACCTTTATTAAAATTCAATAAACACATATTCCAAAATGGCACCACATTATACATCATCATCTCTATGTGAACAGCCGAAAGCAAATTAAGCGAAACTGATTTCCCTCTCATCTATGGGGGGTAGAGCAATGTAGAGGAGCCTATTGGTGAGTATCTCGAAATCTGTCTGAACAGGCACAACAACTCGCCGGAATAGTCATAACCTGAGCTGCGGCGACCTCCAGGAGACACTGTAGACGAGAAACGGGGAGGGGGGGGGGGGAACGATGATCTTCCTGGCTACATGATTGCACAGCCTTTTCTTTTCGGCCCTTTGGCGTCAGGATCCTCCATCGTCAGTGCCAAGTTGCGCTTTTTCTCGAGAGCCAGTAGTTGTTGGAAGAGTTCTGTGATATTGTTATTGTTCTTGGCACTTGTTTCGATGAATCCCGTTCCCCATTTGGCAGCCAATTTCGCTCCCGTTTCTTTCGCCACTTCTCGTCGCTGAAACATGCACAGTTATTCAAAAAAGGGGTTTCTAAGAACCAGAAAGGACTTACTTCTTGATCGTCACTTTTGTTGCCGACCAACATGATTGGCACTTCTGTCAGACTGTTTCCTTTCACTTCCATCAACGTCGTCACTATTGGAGCCAGTTCTTCCAACGACTGTTTACTGAAAAATGTTGAGTTTGAAAAAGGCCCTAAGTGTCTAGTTCTTAGATTTTCACGTGGGCTTTTCCTCAAGTGAGCATGAAAAATGATAAAATTTCAGAAAACTGCGAAAACTATAGTACTATTCAATTGGAGGGTCACAATGAAAAGGCGCAGAGCTTTTGCCTTGCTTGATTTTCTGAGTTCTGTCAACTAGCTTGGGAATCAATTTGAATTCTTAATTCGTTCAACGATCGAAAACCTTCATAGACAAGGAAAACACCCTAGGTACTCGGGAAAGTGCCCATTTGGGCAGATTCCCAGTACCTGCCTCTTAGATTTCCGGCTCATTTTCGTTCTCCCAGATTACGAAATCGAAGACTCCCATCTCTCTTGTCAGTTATCAATTTTCTTATTCATTAATTATTATTCCAAGTGTTGGATTAGTGCCGTAGGTAGGTGTAGTCAGAAGCTGCCAAGGCTGGGAGTTTTCGGAGTGAGCTGCGTAAGCTGAGTATGGTCATACGTACTAAAGAAGATCCAGAACTGTTGGAATGCCATCTTCTCCATATGTGGGCGCCAACTGTCGCAGAATAGGAAGATAATATGGTTTTTCGGAAGAACTTCGCATGTGACATCAGTCATCTTGTGAATTCAACTGGAGTGAACCCTGCTGGTCGTCATTGCTCTGCCATTAGCACCCCTTTTCAGCCCTTCAGCAACACATTGAGACCATTTTCCATGCACTTCATGTCTTCTGCCACTGCACCCATCTTTTTTATCCCTTCAGAGATCTATTCGAAATTGGGAGCGTGGTTTACGCTGGGCACCGTAGGTCGTTACCACCCGGTGTGCTTGTCACGAAGTTCCCGCATTGGTAGAATGGCGCTCTTGATGAGATGACTATCACCAATACCTTCCCCGATAACGGAGACTGTGGGTACCCTGTAGAATAGACGCGGCCTGAACTCGGAGTCAACTCACGTGTGGTTGCGTTTTGCTATGCTTCCTGGGCTCTGAGTTAGGAGGATAGTCCGAAAAGGTGCGGGATGTTCTTTCTTTTCTGATGACTGGCTCTCAAGAGGTGGACGACTTGGACGGTCCGCTCGTCTGTCCAGAATTTCACGTTCACAGTGAGCGTAAAGAGCGACGTCACAAAGAGCGTACCACTTTCACGATGAAACTTAAATTCCCATCCTCCCTTCCCCATTTTAAGGGCTAGCAGTAATTACAGTGGAATAGCAGAAATTTGCCTCATTCCAGTTATCTCTTTCTTAACAATAAGGGTATAGTTCATTCAGAATTTGCTGCCTGAGATTCTTGAAGAACATGCTGATAGAATAGTCTGCCAGTTGCTCAATGAATTCCCAATATCCTTCTCCCCTTGCTCGCTTTCGTTGTCCAACTCTTTCGAAGAACTAGCTGTTTTTATAGCGCTTTTCCCACCGCCACTTTTCAATAGTCTCTCAACTGTGTGCAAGAAAAAAAAGCAGAATGGAATATTAGCGTAGTTGGAGCGTTAAATGGAACATTAACTGAGAATTCACGATTTTCAGAATTGAGATGTATTTATCAGCATTTGCTATGTACTCATCCACGGAATAGCCTGGGAAGATGTATCAGGAATAAGTCTTGTACCGTAGGCCTCGGCCCCCCAGATTGTTTGCATTTTTGACGTGCTCCATGAATCGGTCCCTCATTCCGATCGTCAATAGAATCAATGGGATTTGTGGCAAAATAATTTATCAGACGCTGCTCTCTCTCCGCAAGCTAAGAGTTTTGCTTTTTGGTGAATGTTTCAACGTTTCTGTGATCACACACACAAGCTGATGGCATGGCGCATAACAATATGTGCCGTGGACCTGCAAAAATAACCTGCCGATTTCCTCCAAATGATATCTTTCCCAAATTTTTTTAATGTGAATTCGATTTTTGATAGGTGATTATTCTTTTTCTATTTGGGGATTAATAAACTTCTGAGTTTCTCGGAAAGTACTGATTCCACAGTCAAGGCTACGGCAGTGGAAACCAGGGATTCCTCATGCTTTATTTACGGAGCCATTTGTCAGTGCCATTCAAAGAGACAGCCGACGACAATTTCCATTTGTCATTTTGTTTTGTTTTCAACGCGTGCCAATGCCCTCCAACGATTTGAATGATTGGGTTGGCTTCCACGCACTGGACTGAAACAACAGCGGAAAGGACAGCCGAACCTAAAATGTAACCCAAAAAACACAAAATAACGTTGTAATTGGGTTATCGGGGGAGGGCGCAATGACAAGAGGACCCTTGCCACGTAAATGTTCCTGAGTTCAAATCCCGTACGCTGCGAAATCTGTTCCCTCGGTCACTCAACTGGAACCATACTCATTTGATAGAATAAACACTTATAAGGCACATCGGCTGGCCACCGCAGGTCATCGTGCAGGCCGAATCTTATTCAAAATGCCACTACACTTATGAATGGAAGAGAATGCATGTCGCATCCCAGAAGGGGACTGATTAACGACGAAACCTTTCTGTAATAGACAAAGCACCATATCTGCTCACTCGTCTTGGAAAATCGAGCTCTACCCTCACGCCCATAACACCCCGCTCTTTATCGCCTCTAACCATCCTTCCTCTCAAATGTTGCACATGTGCTCTGTAGCGTTGTGAGACGAAATGTGATGTAAGATGTGACTGCTTGTTTTATGTCTTGACCCCCGGTTCAACCTCGTTGAACTTGAACTATCTTTGTTGGTACGACCCCTTTCCCCATCCTACCCGCCCATCCTACTGACGTTTGGTTCCCATCACTTCTTCCGGTTTCCCGAAAAGTTCCAGTTTTCACCCCAGAATTTCGTCGAGCCGTCGAGCGAGGGAGGAGGAGGGAGCGGAAAGGACGTATAGCTCACTTGAAACGGGAAAACCGAGCAAACCCAACAACCGGAAACATTTCCCTCGAAGGGAACTACGACCATCTTTTCTCCATCCAGCGATCAAATATGACCCCTCCCCCCCCGCTTGCTGGGGATCTCCACGTCGGTACATAGGTGCTCGGCGCTTGTACTCATTGTCAGTGAAACACCAACCTAGCAATCGCTATTCCATAACAATCATAGCCACGGATCTTTGTCATCACATTCGCAGCTCTTCTACAATTCAGAGCATACGGAGGGGGTGGCACAGCCCATACCGTCATTAACCTGGATTCGACGTCGTACTAAACTTGCCAAGTCTTACAACTCAGAATTCGCTACCTAGACAAAAGGTTTCCAGTCAATTTAACAGCCAGTTCCCTGGACCTCAGCAAGCTCCCAGGAGCGCCTCCTTCAGTTTTTCCCTTTTCGTCCAATAATCCGTGCCCTAACGCGGACGTAATCTTTCCTCAATAAAGAGTCATGATTCAGTGCCTCAGTGTTCTGTCGCCTGTCAGTGCGCTTCTCATAAATAATCGTCAAATGATTGCTCTTCCGTGAGTCTCTCGTGGACGTGCGCAAAGCTTCTTCTACTTCTATTTGAGCAGGAGGGCGTTAATGTAATCAGAACAGGTTTTGCAAGGAATAGAAATAGAATAGAGTAAACGAAATTATATAATTTTCGCGTCGAACCTGGTGACGGAGTAAATAAGAATGAACGCGTGTCCTTTGGAGATTGACAATCGCTGCATAGCCGGAAATTGATGACTTCCCGTGGTGTCGGTGATTTCCAGTGTACAGACATTTTTCTGATTACAACTGATCACCTGAAAAAACAACATTAGATCTCCAATAATAATCGTAAAAAAATGGATGGCACAGCTTTATCCTAAAATCCTTCTATCATGTTTTTGGGTTGATAAGACGAAAATGGTCCAGGGATGGACTGAATAGTTCCTTTTTTATGGACACTGGTCAAGAGATCTGAGTTACGACGGCACGTAGAGCTCTACTTGAGCAGCACTTTCCAAACAGATGACTCAGCTTGTCCTAGCATTTTAGTAGTCGATGCGAATGATGGACACTCAGCGCGCGCATGCAGCCGCGCTTTTCCCGTAAATCGGATCTCCTGACCTCCGTCCATGGGTGGAAGTCAGATGATCCGATCCAGGGTTGTTAAGGATTTCATATCCACTGACTCACTCAAGCGGTGCAAATCTAGTCTGAGGAGGAGAAATGAAGATAGGCACATGGAACTGTACCTTAGGTAGTGCCCCACACTATACTGTATAGTCGAAATACATTACCAATTTTTATAAAGTTGCAAGAGCTAATCAAATGCATGGCTTGGTTGTTCCATCTTAATGAAACCATTTTTCATCGTATTTTATTTATTTTTCAGTGCCTACTCGATAGTGTCATAAGAAGTTCTGTTTTGTGATGGTTTTCAAACGCCATTTTGCTAATCACGAGCGGCATGGTTCAAGCAACGGAGGGGGGGGGGCAGTTGTGAGCTCAGGTGAACTCGTGGGAAGTCTCGAAATCTCAAGAGCTTCATTCCCGAACTACTTTTTGCACAAGACGGAAGCTAGCTCTCACAGGCTTGGGAAAGTCCTCTTCCTTTCGCTTACATCGTTTCTTTGCATAGTCCCGCAACAGACGCCGTCAAATAGGAAAAAATAGCGTGGGTGCGAATCCCCTATCATTTCTTCGTTTTACAAGGGTTTCCGGGTCTTCGCAAGGTGAGCTGCTATGAATATACAGGTTTTCACGAAGTAGCAACGCATGTCAGCAACCAAGTGCCCACCCCCAAGGTAAGCCAAGCTGATATAGAATATTAACTAAAGGATAAAGTCTTCGCCGTTGATCAGTCCTTTCCTGTGGCACGCATTCTACTTTCACTCAGAATCGCCATGGCTCTTTGGATACGATGTGGCCTATACAATGACATGCGGGGACCAGACTATATACAAGTTACTGTTCTTATTTTTGCAGCCGAATCTAGCGAAAGTCAATCGTCCTTGGAATACGAAAAGCTTAGTTAGCCTGGACGGGAGATCCGCGATTCGATCCCAGATAACGCGCTAGGTAAGCGTGCCATTTGCGCTACACCGCCTCCGCCTTAAATGATCAATCAGATGAATGATCAAAAGAAAGTGCACTTTGGGATGACAAGCTCCTTGCATAAGGTTGCACAATTCTGTTGGATCATGTTTTACAAATACTATAGTCAGAAGTCACTGTTGGGGAAGGGTAGGGGAGGCATTTTATTACTTCTCTAGTTCCTTTTGTCAGAACCTGCTATCTAGAAGCGCCATTCTAGCAAGACCTCTAGTGTCTTGTGTGGTACAAGTGACGCCCTGGTTGCTAAAATTTACAGGTCGCCACAAGGTAGCCTGTAACTTCGCTTAGTACTATTTGGTGCTCCCTCGAACCCAAGTGCGCCGTAAGATGCGTTCATACTTAGCGGCAGCGTCCACCAGCGTCTATCACTGACGCTACGAACGCTCGGAACTACGTTTGCTAATTGTCTCCAACTTCTTTTTTCGTAGAACCTGCTCTTATTTGCGCTTAATTCTTTTGTGCCTGCGAGGTTGTTAGGTGGGACTGTTTATTGGACTGTTTTAGTAACGTCCTGACGTTCCGACCAGTTGTTAGTAGTATACAACTAACTGAGCGGCTTCTTCCCGCTCTTGCCGCGGTGGACTTGGTCTCCGAGGACGACGATCGGCCGTTAATAAACAGTTCCACCTAACAAATTCGCGGGCACAAAAGAATTAAACACAAAATTAGCTCGGAACTACACTACACCGTGCATCAAAATACATATTCTGCTGCTTCAACATTTGCAGTGCGCGTTGCATAGGCCACGACGCCTGATCCAGCTGTTTGCTACCCTCCTACTTCCCCATATCTCTAACCCCGGTCGCTGGTGACCGCTGGTGGACGCTGGCAGACGGTGGGAGACTCTAGCAAACGCTAAATCAACACATGCGCTTCCCTAGCCCTGGAAACGCTGGCAGACGCTTTGAGACGCGAGTAGATGCTGTCAGACACTAGATCGACATCTATACTTCTCTGGTCGCTGACGCTGCCGGACGCTCGGAAACAATAGTGCACGCTGGTAGACGCTGCCGCAAATTATGACGCTGCCTTCAGATTATGATTATAACGCAGCCTAACAGCTTGAACACCTCACGATTGAGTATGAATCGCAAACTGAACATATATGAACCTTCGCTCCAACGCGAGGAATGGCCTAAGTCCTGCCCGTCGTCGCGACCTCCGGACCCTTCGTTTTCACACTGTTTGAGATTAAGCAACTCTCGAGTACTATAATAGGAAAACTGCTCTTTGCACTCGAAGTGAAGCCACACTTCTCAATATTTGCCTATGTGCTATTAATTTATCGACGATTTCTCGGAATTTCAGACACTTCCTGACTGGAAGACCCGAACATTTAGAGAGCCTACCAGCTTTTAGAGAGCATCAGTTAAACCTTCAGCTCGACTTTATTCCCGAATCAGTCTTTAGTTCTCCACCCGATCAAAAATCAGGGCTGTTCTGAAAGCACGGGGAAGAAAGCAGGACGTTGCGGATACCCCGACAGCATCAACTATCCCAACAACAAGTGTGAGCAGAGCGATTCAGTCCATTGAATGGCTCAAATCTGAATGCTATTCACAAAAAACCTTTGCTCTCCTAGTCGTCATAGAAATCGAATAAAAGGTCCGTCGCCTCGTCAGCACGTAAACGGAATTGGCGACTTCACGATGTAATTGACTTGACGTTCTGCGATTCCCTTTTCTAGGCAGACTAAATATTATTTTTGCATTGCCTACAGAACCCAAGTGAGAGGTTCGAGCCGTTTCTCGTGAACACAAGCGAACCACCCCACCTTTGTAGCTAAAAACAAACAATTCTCGCCACCTAAAAAAGTGTATCAATTTTCCGGCTCCGAGAAGTACTGCACTGATTGCCTGGAGCTCGGCAATGTCTGATCTCATAGAACGCGGGAATAGCTAGTTTCTGATCACCGTCTCCCTCCCCCCCTCCCCCCAGCGCTGTTAGATTTGTGTCGTATCAATCCATGCATAAGAACATGTGAAACCACTTACAGTCACTATCCCTACGAAAAAGGTGCCATGTGAGGGGGCGCGAATTAGAACGCCACAATGTGAACGCTCTTCAGCAACTGAAGCGGGCTCAGGCCAGGGTGGCATTGTTTGCGTAAAGGGCTGACCGACTACTCTCCAGTCCACGTCCCCTCACGCCCCTTCATTTGCAGGGATAACAACAGCACGAATTGTTGAGGTCCGAGCTTGGCACGTAAGGAAGATAAGCAGAATAGGTCTTCAGTAGGACGCTCCTCACCGTACAGCAAGTGCGACTCTTTTCAACACTCACAGTGATCCTACCAGCAAGCCGAACATGATTTCTTTCCAATGTGACAGCAATACGCCCCCCCCCCCGCTCGTTGGGAATTTTTCTACCACGGCGTGACACTAGTTCTAGGCCTATCCTCTTCCATTGACTCGCAGTGATAAGCTCGTGGACAGTGGAGACAGAATAGAAGATGAGATGCTCACAGAAGTGTGAAAAGGAAGTGCGAGAGCAGCTTCTCTGAGGTGATGGAGGTTCACAGGGAAGCGTTCATACTTTGCGGCAGCGTCCACCAGCGACCAGCAGCATCCGTGACATCAGTGATTAGGAAAGTATAGATATCGCTCTAGCGTATACCAGCGTCTGCCAGTGTCTACCAGCGAATACCAGCGATCAGCAGCGTCCGCGGACGGAAAGCATGGGGAGAGAAGAGGGTAGCAGACTGCTGGTAGAGGGTATGGGGCGATAGGGGGTACCCATTATCTGCTACCCTCCTATTGCCACACCTCTCTCTCAGACGCTGTTAGTCGCTAGATCGGTACCTATACTCCCCATAGCCCTCGAGAAGCTGCTGGTCGCTGGTGAACGCTGCTGCAAAGTATGAACGCAGCCTCAAGAGGAAAGTGATCTATACTCTTGAGACCTATGGTAATCAAAACCTGTTCCAATGCGCTTAGAGTTGAATTACTCCTGCAGGAGTGTGGTGCCGTTGTGAGGTGAAGGGTGTCAACACTCCGCGTTTGTCGTATGGGTTGATTCGCCCATTTTGTAGTGCTCACTGGTGCAAGGTTCTCTTCACTGTTTCGGAAAAAAAGGGGGATATGACCAGCATTCAATGGACCTTCAAAGTGGAACACTTAGGATTACCACCCTCTGAACTATCTCCTTTGAATGAGTGAAGAAAGAACGGAAATTGCTTTTTTGCAGGCGGCATTCAGGACCGTTTACTCGGGAAAAAAGTACAGAAATGCCAAGCTAATGGCCCCAAAGGCTCGAGTCTACTAGGCATTATTCGTGGAATGCGATGCGGAAGGCTTCCCCTACGTAGTAGGCTGAAAAAGCGCGCTATTCAATAATTGACGCCGTTATTCAAAGCCCATGTTGACAGCATAAAGGCTCTATCCCATCTACTGACGGCAGAGAAGAGAGGAAGTTTCTTTGGTGGTGAAGGGGCGGAGAAGGAAGAGCAGGTGACATAAAGTCCTACCCTTTCGACATACATGCAGCTGAGGACAAGGTACAGCATCGTGATGTGTAAAATGGTGGTTTCAGTACGACCGCTCTCCCCGAACGAGGGTCTCGGTACGACCCTTCACCAACACTTACCTACCACTTTCCTACAAGTTCCCAGCTTCCTACCAATTTTTCCGAAATATCCCACATTCACCCAAAAAATTCCATGGAGCCATGGAGCAAGGGGGAGAGGTCTTAGTTGCATAGAGCTTGCGAAAGCAACTAGGGGTACACAGATGTGAAACGGACGGGAAAAACCGCGAGAAGTCAACAACCGGGAAATTTTTGCTCAACGCGGCAAATTTCTCTCAAAGGCAAATATGATCCTCTCTCTCCCAAAAACGAACTAATGCGCTCCCCCCGCCCTCCACAGCAGGCAAGTACGACCCCTCATGTGCTTCACACAACGATGGTGTACCCTGGCCGCGAAAAAAAACTTGCAACAAGCCACGAAATTGCGTTTTGAACAGTTCCGAGCTCCTATTCAACAGCAATACAATGGAATGCTGAGCAGATAGCGGGAATTCA